ACCTGCTGGCAATGGAATTTGATTATAAAAAGAACAAGTAGGACAGTTTTTCACTGTCTCCTTGGCTTGTTGCCAAGTGGTGGAGAAGTCCTTTTTCAAACCTTTGCTACTCACATGATGTTTCTTATGGAATTCTGAAACTTCTAGCACACTTCTAATTAAACTATCAATCTCATCATTGCCTTGTGCTAGTGGGCCTGGCAGACCTGTATGGGATCTGATATGTGTAATTTATATAGGATTAATTTTGTTTCTGATAGTTTCCTGTAATTGTAAAAACAATGAGGTTAATTCGTTATTATCAGGAACAAATTTTGCAGTCTCAATGTGTAATACGACTCTCTCTGCAATTTGAGAATCAGTAACTATATTAAGAGGCTCTGTAAAATCTTTAAGTACCATGAGAATTGCATATAATTCTGCCTTCTGTACAGATGTATATGGACTTTGAACTATTTTACTTACCTCACCTGCTTTATAACCTTCCTTACCTGATTTGTTGGCATCAGTGTAGAAGGTAAGAACTCCAGAAATGGGAGTTTGTCTTACAATACATGGAAGAATCCAGACTATCTTTTTTATGAATTTAATTCTGACAGTTTTGGGATAGTTGTTGCTAATTGTCCCCAGAAAGACAGTAAGAGCTATTTGCTAATATTCATTATCCTTCCATAAGGAGGAAATTTCTTCATTAGTTAAAGGTACTATAATTTCTGCTGGATCTTTTCCAGTCCAATATAGTATCTTCCCTTTGCATCAGAATTCCAGAAGGGTATTCTCTGGATGGCAAGATAACCAGAATACAGTCTAAATCAAGTTTTATCCGACCTACATGTGCATCCAATATACTATTTTCTACCTATTGTAACTCTTTTTCTGTCTCATCAGATAATATTCTTGGACTGACCTTTAAGGGCCATTTTAAATGCTTTAAGTCATGTCCTTCTACACCAATAATTGTCTGCAATTGAGAAATTTCTCCGAATAATTTCTGAAGAGAATTAAGAGTTTGATAAAGATCTGTCCTAATTTGTACCATTTGAGGTCTGATTCTCTGTAAGTCTATCTTGTAACCTAAATAGTTAATAGAATCTCCTCTTTGTATCTTTTCTGGGGCAATCTGTAACCCCCAATGAGGCAGAACTTCCTTCACCATTTCAAACAACGTTCCAAAGTTTCCTTATTAGAATCTGATAAAAGAATATCATCCATGTAATGATAAACAAGAGATTGTGAAAATTTCTTACGAATTATATCCAAAGGTTGCTATACAAAGTGCTGACACAAAGTAGGACTATTTAGTATTCCTTGTGGCAAAACTCTCCACTAATATCTCCTAACTGGCTGTGAATTATTAAGAGTTGGTACAGTAAATG